GCTTCAAATAAATAATGATTACTTCAAAACTAAAAGGTTTTGGATAAATCAGTTGATACCATTAAAATTGAAGTTAAATTACCAACAAGATGACATCAATACTAAACTTGTAGACGTTGGTAAAATAAGCGTTTTAGTAGTCAGAACTTAAATATATAATAGAAAAATTTATATATATATTTTTTTTAAAACTTACTATTGGTGATTCTAAAATACTATTTCCAAACCTAGAAACCAGCAAATTTCAGAAATCGTACTCAATTTTATATCCTTTTTAGTGGTGCAACTACTTTTTTAATTACTTTTTTCAAAGATGAAGAAATTTATCAAGGAAAAGAAAAAACTGTGGTTGAAGGATTGGTGAGGTGGAAAATAAATAAAAAATACTTAAAGAAATTTTGAATGAAATTATTAACTTTTTTTTAGATTTTGATTCTAAAGGTTTTAAATTGTTACCTACTTGAAAGTGGTTGTAATGTACTTCAAATTATTAAAAAAAAATATTTTTCACTTTTTTAATTTTTTTCTGTTATGCATCTACTTCAAAATTTTATGTTTATTCACAATTTTTTCCTATTTAATTGTAATTATTGTAAGTTGAAATCTTGTATTGTTTATAACACAGTTAAGTTAGGTATATTGTAAATTACACACTGCATGTTAAATTTTGTAATAGTGATTAAAGCTAAAAAAATAAATTCACTAGTTTTCGTGGTCCGCTTGACCAAATAATATCTTTCAATTAATTAACTGTATTTAAGGTATTGGCTAAGATAAAAAAGTGAGTGTCACGAGCGGGATTCGAACCCACGACCTTCGGCTAAATACTCCTCTGCTCTAACACTTGAGCTATCGTGACTTCGAACCACTCAGACACTGACTTCCCATCTCAACCTCACCTTTTTGAATTTTTCCCTCCTTTTTGCCATTTTTCGTTCGAAGTCACGATAACTGAAGTGGTTATTTAGCTGAAGGTCGTGGGTTCGAATCCCGCTTGTGACACTGAATTTTTTATCTCAACTAATACCTTAAATACAGATTAATTAACTAAAAAATAAGTATATATTCGATAATCATTTGTTTGTTTATTTTTGTAAAACCGAACTATTGACTGTTAAAATGGTCAATATGACCTAAATGTGCGAGTATTATAAATAAAGCGTTTCAATTCAATTCTCTCTCTCTCTCACTCTCTCTCTCTCTCTCTCCCTCTGTCTCATTCTCTCTCTCTCTCTCTCTCTCTCTCTCTCCCTCTCTCTCTCTCTTTTCCTTTCGTGCATTCCTCAAATTCGTTGTAATGATATGAGTCAATTTAACGACAGAAGAAAACAAGAGCGTTAAAGACGTCGAAAACAGGGAGTCAAAGAGACGTTAATAAGTTCTAACCGATTGGGCAAACAAGACGTTTTACACCGCCAAAACACGGCTTAGACGAGGACTTCTGAGCATTTTTGATACCTGAACGAACAGAAGCAGTGGATAAACCTTTCGCTTACGCGCACGTGTTTGCTAAATTAAATGAATACAAAAAATGCCTATTATAAATGCATTCATTAAAAGATGCTGATTCCTATTGTTGATCTTGAATTAATTAATTTGTTTTACGAATAATTTATAAGTGAGTGTAAGTCATCAGCGAAAGATGTCAAAACAAAACCAATATTTTCTGAATGAATTATATTGTTTTGTTTCTTTTAAATTCCGAGTTATCTCTGACACCTAAGTGGGATACATTTTAATAACGGGCACGTCTCGTAGATGGCAATCTCATCTCTGAATATACACCGGCTACTTCCTCAGGGCGTTCAATACAATTAAGGCGGTGCGGGTCTGTCCGTACCCGATTGATTTATGCCTTTTTTAGAATTAACCGTAAGCGACGTCCACCCCGTGAAAATTCTAGAAGCTGGACCACGGGATGATTGGAAGGTGATTTTTCCCGTAGGGGAACGATTCAAAATTGTTTTCCATGCGCAGATCGCCTTTCTGAGAAATGACTTCTTGTCAAAACTTGAAAACGCATGAGAAGAAAGTTGTAAAAGCGAGGGGGTCGTGAAAGTGTTGAAACGGGCGTATAACTCCTTATCGGGCCGGGTACTCTTCGGAAATGTCTTTTGGTTAATTGCTTTTAATTAGCAAGGAGTTTCGGACTGTAACACGCTCATTAGTGCCGAACACAAGGGCGCTTACACTCCCTGAACTTAATCTCGGCGCTTTTTAATAGGTTGAGAAAAAAACAAAAAACAACGGTCATCTAATGATACAGAACAGCGTAGAGGATTTTAAGCTTCTGAATTGAACCGGATTAGGGGCAGTCGTTTTCAAAACCTACTAGATAGGCGACATCATTCAGCTTTTAACTTGAAAATTTATTTTAGTAATATTTTCTTATTGGCTGATAAAATCTTACACCTTTTAGCTATAGTGAAACATTTCTTTATATATATCTTCTATAGAATCATTAAGGATTCATTTAAAACCAAACCCAATTTGATATTGGACGTCTCTTTAGCTAGAATGAAATTTGAACTGATAATTCAAGATTACATCATCATCATCAGTGGTCCATGTGTGCAACCGTTCGGCCTAATTTAGAATGAAAACATTAATAAACAGTATGAGCGCCAGAAGGCCAGTCGGTACGGCTTAAAGGTTCTTTCGGATTGAACTTGAATCTACGGTTTGCTAAAGTAAATGTTTTTTTTTACTCTATTTCTTAGAAATCTTAAAGCTTCAAGAAGAAAATGATCCTGAGCATAGGTTTTGCTTGAAAATATCATTTAAACTGAAGCTTCGTGACTCGCCCTGCTTATAACCCAGATGTTGCATCATAGGCCTCTTGACACTTGTAAAAACGGACAATTTCAAACTAGCAGTATGTAAAACATTAAACGCCTCTAAAGTAAAGATTTGGTGCCGACATCCAATTTCTACATTGAGAACTTTAGAATCAGGTGGAGGCTTGAACTGAATATTCATGCCTCGCCCTGCTTACAGCCCTGACGTTGTGATCCAGTCTAACTCTCGCCAAAGACATTCATTTTTTTTAAAGGATGACAATTTCTAACTAGGAATATATGTTAAATTAAAAACTCCTTCTAAACTGACAGTTTGGCATCGTCACCATATTCAGGTTTTGGCTGTAAGTCGGGTATGGCTTATACCTTGAGCAAGTCATTTAATGTACCATTACTAAAAAAAAACACGTATCACCGTGTGAATATAACCGATGAAAGACGTTTTTAATAGACAACACTAAATATACAACTTTTATGGTAAAATAAGAAATTTTACCTAAAAAACCGAAAGTTTGGTATCATTCCAATTTTCTATATGGCTGAGTCCATTATGGGTTTTTTATTGGAGAGGAACATTCAAATAATAGTATTATATACTTTTTCAAATATTAAAAAGTGCAGGAAGATTGTATAAACTTATCGAAATTTGCGGAATTGGCATCGTGCCTCTCCCTGTTTATAACCCTGACGTTGCACCATCTTAACAATCGGCAATGGAAAACTGTTTTTTTTTTAACTATACGACGTTTTCTATATAAAACTAAGTATAAACGTATACAAAACTAAGAAGTTTTTCTTTACAAACTGAAAATTTGGCTTGATCACCAAACCTCTACACTGCTGTGAGTCGGGTATGGAGTAGATACGAAAGAACACAGCTGTAACAAATTATAATTGTTCAATCACAACAAAAAATAAATGTTTAATCAATAACAATAAATGTTCAATCACAATCCCTAAAAAATCAGTAAGACGGAGTAAATATTCTAATTTGAAGAAATGAAAGCATGCCTAGGCCTGCTTATATCCCTGACGTTACACCTTCTGACTATTACCAATAGACATTTTCATTTATTATTACTATTTTACTTTCTACACTATATATATGTAAAACTAAAAAAAAGTTGTTTTATAAACTGAAAACGGGGTATAATCAACAAATTTCTGCAAGATTGTATAAATATCTGCATATGCTACAAATATGTCAAAAGATATTTTTTTTCATCCGATAAACCGAAAGCTATATTTTGAAGAGCACAAGTCGTGTGAGTGTTTTATGTTGTTCTAATGTGCAAACATTACATACCAGTACGATTGTGTAAGTAGTATAAATATACGCGTTTTTAATAGAGAAATGTGCAGAAAATGAGTCATGTCTCGCCTTGCTTATAACTCTTAGATCGCGACGCCACCCACCTTACTGCTACCAATAGACACGTTTTCATGCACAATCATAAAAACCGACATGATTGTATAGATATTGTAAATGTTTATTGGAGAAAATTGTGGAAATCGATTCACGCCACCACCTGCTAATAACTCTGACAACTTGAACTGTCCCAATATATGTACCTATTTTGTATAGTCCTTTTGCAACAACCTAGTGCGGCGAGCATGCCACGCCCTTCTTATAACTCTGACAACTTATACTGAAACTGTATATGTATATTTTTACAGAGATGAAGGCCTAATATGTGCGTTTTTATAGCTAGCACAAAGTTATAATATAAAAAATGCCAACCGGAAAAAGTCGAGTTGTACCTCGCCCTGCTTATAACCCTTAGATCGCGCCGTCACCTGACTACTGCCAATAGAACACGTTTTATGAACAGACGATTCTTTCCACACTAATATGTAAATCTAAGTATCACCCGATAAATCGAAAGTTTTGTATCGTCATCAAACCTCACTATGAATGTATGTCGGGTATTTTATATCTCATAAAGCACAAGGGCTATGACTGTTTGATATGTTGTTATATGCACAATCATAAAACAAACCGACATGATTGTGTAGATATTGTAAATGTTTATTGGAGAAAATTGTAGAAACTGATTCATCGATCTGATTATTTATTATAACTTATTTTTATATGTACCTCTTTTGTATAGTCCTTTTGCAACAACCTAGTGTGTCGAGCATGTTGTTTTTTTACGTGTGTTTGTGTGCCTAGCATATAGATAAAATATAAAAAATGCAAACCGGAAAAATTGCGTCGTGCCTCGCCCTGCTTATAACCCTCACATCGCCCCATTTGATCACGGCTTTTAAAATATGACTCATTCTATAGTTAGGCATTCGCAGCATAATTAATTCCCGGGTTCCTATTCGCAAAATTTGGGTCATGCCTCGCCCTCCTTATACCCCTCACATCGCCCCATAAGAGTATTCGCATTTGAGTACGGTTTTTTTTTCTTTTACGAGGGTTCGCAACAGCAGAGATCATATAAACCCTCAGGGTGCCGGTGTTTTTGAAAAAAAGCCCATTTGTATGTATGTCGGATTCGAATGCAGGGCCGCTGGATTCGAACCCGGGACCTTTACCTTACAGTGATGAGCGCCGTGTCAAAGACTAAACCTTGCGGCCACCGACGCCCCAGCTGTGGGTTCTTTGATGTCATTTTTGAAACGAGAGTTCTGCATGGTCATGAAAAAATTTGGGCCTTTATGACTGACCATACTGGACTCTGAGTACATAATTTTTGGTACAAAACGTCTAAATTGTTGACAGTAGGATAAGAAATAAAAGTTTGATATGACCTCTGCTGTTGCGAACCCTCGTAAACAAAACCAAAAAAATTCCACCAACACTTTATATCGTCTAGAATTATCACAAAGGACCAATTTCGGGCGCATGTTATGACAATTAAAAATGAATCATAGTTTGGCGCAAGAAAGGAAGATGAGGATTCCATATTTTTCCACATATGGGTGTCAACGCTCCCTAGAGTACGGTTTTTAAATGTTGACTTTCTATAGTTAGGCAATCGCAGTATAAAAATTCCCGGGTTCCTATTCGCAAAAATTGGGTCGTGCCTCACCCTGCTTATAACCCTCACATCGCCCTATCAGAGTATTCCCATTTAAATACGGTTTTTAAATGATGACTTTCTATAGTTAGGCATTGGCAGTATAAAAAGTCCCGGGTTCCTATTCGCAAAAATTGAGTTGAGCCTCGCCCTTCTTATAACCCATACATCGCCCCATCTGACTATTGACATTGGAACACGGTTTATAATAGACGACTCTCTGTGCAGCCAAACATTAACAACATAAACAAATACTGCAAATTCGGAAAAAAATCGAGGCATGCCTCGCCCTGCTTATAACCCAAGTTTTTATAGCCAGGCATTAATAGAAAATTATATGCTACTTGTTATACTGACATCGGTATACGGAAAACCCCTTTCCAAAGTAGGTACAATAAAAATAAGACATCTTGCCAATTTTGGTGTGGTATTTTCATTCAATGCCTAGGTTGTTTTTAAGTATTCTTACATTTCGTAAAAAAAGAGCTAAAGTCAAATTGTACGTTTTATAATTTTTTTCCAGCATTAGAAATCCATTAGGAGGCCCGTTTCGCCGGTTAGAGCCACCCGGTGAATATTCTTTCTCCTTCTTCCGTTCTGATTAACGGGATGATTGATAGTGCGTTAATGGTTTTGCCATTAAGACGAGGAGGGGCTTCCCACCGTGGATCTAAACATCGGCGACCTTGGCATCATTTATCACAAGCGGACCCAACAAAGAAACTTACACCGAGAAGAACAAGCTTGTTGACTTTGTCCTTTGCTGTTTATCTTGTGTGGATATGAAGCAACAGGCGTGCTCGGGGGGCTTTATGCGTTCCGCCTTCCGTGTAGACGCGCTTCACGGCCGAGTTTCAGCCAAACTGCAAAAGCACTTCACACTTCCTTTCCGGCTCCTTTTGCCTTATTTGACTTTTAGCCTTCAAGCCTTCAGTTCCTCATGAACGAAAAGATAAGATCGAAATTTCTCACAATGATTAGCCATAAACAATCATGAAAATAAGAAAGGAGGGTAAACAGAGAAGACAGTAGCATTGGTGAAAAATATTGTTCAAATCTCATGTCTAATAAATAAAAAAATGTGTTGAGACGTTGTAACCTAAAAGTCAGAGTATGTAAATAGCCAAAAATATTCTAAGTTAAGGTCAAACAATGTTACAATAGGGGCTGTCAGTTCATCAGAGAGTTGCGACCCTCCTCCACGCTTTAAATTCGATATAAGTCGAAACTTATTTTCATAAAGCTCATAACCATAAGTTGACTTTTACAGGTGAAAGCACAGAGACGAAATCCTAACGGTAGGAGCGAAATGAAGTCATAAGCCATTGGCTAATAGAAGAGCCATGTCGGGCTCGCCCTTGATGCCTGACGTAACCGCTGCATTTAGACGAGGTGTGTTTATGGATTTTCGACATGATGGTGTTAAATGACTTTACACCTGGGGAGGGGTCCTTGGACGAAGTTTGGACGTTGTCCCATGTCAGGACGGGTACGGAGTACATTAGGAACTCGGAGGCCCTACAAGGTCCGAGCAGCCCCCTTATTAAGATTGTCAGGCGTTATAAACACAGACGAAGTCAGCTTTGGGTCTAATTATAGACGTTGTTTCACTTCAAATTTGCCATGACAGAAAACACGGACCGTCTCGGTACTTCTGGGCTTGCGGGGGGAAGTGCCGGCTTAAATTCGTATTAATTCAATTTGCAAAGTTGGGCCCAAACTTCAGAGGGTTCTACGGCACGGGTGGAAACGTCAGAATATTATTATAGCATAATATAAACAAAACTCTCACCATTTATATACAGGATGATTCGAAAACGTTCCGGCTTAAACTTTGCGATCTTAGTGATTGAAATGATGCAGGGTCAAAAACGCTACATTTAATTTCCACAGGGCAAAAACAAGTTTTCCCCTATATCTTCTGCAAATATCTCAAAAATTAATAACTTTTTCCGAAAATACAACTAAATAAAAATTGTAAAAGGTAAAATTCCCTCTGAAATGAAATTTCTTGTATGTTTGTAGGCTGGGATAAATAGTCAAAAATGGCTCATTTTTATGCTTAAACAAGAGTATTTAAGGCAAAATAACAAATTATCACTTCATAAATGATGGTTTCTGTAACGTGTAAAATGTTGCCAACAAATATAAAAATGATTATTTGGAGATCGTGAGATGCGGTCTGGTGTGACGTAGGTTTTAGAAAAACATTTTCTTTATCATGCCAACGTTTGGATCTTTATTGAGATCATCTTCAGGGCCTGGGAAGATTACACATTGTATAAATTGTACAAATTTAATGTGTTTTTTTCACATCCTACATGTATTTGTAAAATTTAAACAATGTGTATAAATCCCAGGCCCAGAAGATGATCTCAATAAAGATCGAAACGTTGGTACGAAAAGAAAATGTTTTTATAACACCTACATCACACCAGAACGCACCTCACGATCTCCAAATAATAATTTTATTAAACACCACACAAATACAAAAATCTTGAATTTTTTTTCGTTTTTATCATTAAAAACAACACTTATAACATGTTGAAATATCCAAAGGATTCTTGTCGCAATGACCACATTTTAGACAAAAACCACTGGAAAAATCTTATCTTCTCACTCTCTCCTACTCCCTCTCGTCTCTCGCACAATTTCAAAACGTTCACACTAAATGAATTTATAATTTAGTAGCAGCTCGTTCTTTCTACCTGTCTGTTTCTCTCTCTGACTCACTCTTTTCCACCCTCCCACATATACTTTATGTTTAGGAGTAGGGCAAGGATGTCTTTTCAGCCGTTTTTATTTATCAATCTGTACAAACACTCCCTCTCTTTTTCTCCCTCCTGACCTCCTTCTCACTCTGTCTCTCTCTCTCACACTTCTTCTCATCTCTCGAACAATTTCAAACCTTTAACACTAAATTAATTTATAATTGAATAGCAGCTCGTTATTTCTATCTGTCAGTCTGTCTGTCTCTCTCTCTCTCTCTCTCTCTCTCTCTCTCTCTCTCTCTTTCTTTCTATTTCTTTCTCTGCTTTTCTTTTAGTCTGTGTATGTATATATCTCCCTTTCTATTTCTGCCTGACTGGTTTTCTGTTGTCTACTGTTTCTCAATTTCTCAATTTCCATTTTCTCATTTCTCATTCTCTCTCAGCCACTCTTTGTTTTTCTTTCTCTGCTTTTCTTTTAGTCGGTGTATGTATATAGCTCCCTTTCTATTTCTGCCTGACTGGTTTTCTGTCTGTCTACAGTTTCTCAATTTCCATTTTCTCATTTCTCATTCTCTCTCTCTCTCTCTCTCTCTCTCTCCCTTCCCTCTTTCTTCTTTCTCTGCTTTTCTTTTAGTCTGTTTATGTATATAGCTCCCTTTCTATTTCTGCCTGACTGGTTTTCGGTCTGTCTACATTTTCTCAATTTCCATTTTCTCATTTCTCATTCTCTCTCTCTCTCTCTCTCTCTCTCTCTCTCTCTCTCTCTCTCTCTCTCTCTGTTTATGTATATAGCTCCCTTTCTATTTCTGCCTGACTGGTTTTCGGTCTGTCTACATTTTCTCAATTTCCATTTTCTCATTTCTCATTCTCTCTCTCTCTCTCTCTCTCTCTCTCTCTCTCTCTCTCTCTCTCTCTCTCTATCTATCTATCTATCTATCTATTTATCTAACTATCCATCTACCTATCTATTTATCTCAAGGGTTATAAGTTGAGCGAGGCATGATTCCATTTTTAATAGAATAACCTAGCTCATATTGACAGTTGGTCAAATTCTCACAAATTAACTGTACTTCTACTACGTTTTACTGCTATTTAACATTGTCAGAGTTTAAAGAAAACGTTAATTGTTTTCTAAAATCACATTTGATAAGGATTTACTTAATCGATGGTATTAATTTTTCATATTGCCCGGTTTGTAACCTCAAAATTATTATTTTACTGACTTTATGACCAGAAAATCAGGTTTCTAAGCTTCATTATTCAACATTATGGTGTTCGACCAAAACAATGTTAATAGAGGGATAAAGAACCACTATCGTATCAATCAGTTAGTCAATCTTTAACAGAAACTAACCCAGGTATCCCGTTGATGTCCTTGTGTTTAACTTTCCGTCAATCAGATCGTTAAAGAGTGAGGTCGTATATAAAAAAAAACAATCCACCGACCGACAATGTACTGTAGAGACAATGAGAAAAGGGCAAACTAATGGATTTCTAATGGACCATCGCCAACGTCTTATTAGCTTCCTATGGCCTGCATCAC